GAGCAAATGTTTAGCTATGTTTGATTCTTGGAACTGGGGTTTATTCTAGCTCTAGTTAGCTAGTGGTAGTTATTCTAATTGGAGTTAGCTTATAGCCCAGGATGTTGTATTGTGTTCATTGGAAGGTATGCTGTATGTACTGGACATGGTAACATACTGCTTAATATCACCATTAGTAGCCCCTCCAATTATACAATAGGAAGCACTTGGAAACAAAACTACACAGATTTCAGTAAGGTATCTCTAATGCTAGTCTGGGAATAAATACAGAAATGCAAGAGGAATTCCCTACCCTTATTAAGGTAAAGTCTATTTCAGTGTTTTTCAAACTTGGCAACTTTAAGATGGGTTCTGGGAGTTGAAGTCCACCCATCTTAAAGTTGCCAAGTTCAAAAAACAGTGGTCTATTTGAATCCTTTGAAATGTTTCTTCCCATGTTTCTTCCACCTGGGCTGAGTTGCATTTATGAGATGAACTGCCCATGGACTCGCCTTCTGTCTCTTGAGTATTGATGTCTGCCCTTTCCATTCCTTTCACAGTCTCCCGCAATTTCTCATTTGCAAGCTTTCTTCCAAAATATTAAAAATAATCCCCTGAAATATTGTAAGAACTAAGTGATCTCATGCCCAATATCTTAAATGAGAATGTCATCCATGTGGTCTTTTTTAATTATAAAAATATTTGAAAAGCATACATTGCCACCTGCGGGCTTTTATACCCTAAACGGAAGCTTAGAAATCATACATATAAGCCACTCATGCTGACTTTCACTATGAAAAATATTTTGATAAAGTTTCCCTGTTTTAAACTTGAAACATGAAATAAATAAACCATACAAAGTGGGTTGTTCTCATATATAAGGCTGTGAATTACATTCAGATAATTTTAAAGCATGTCAGTTTTACTGATGTAGTTAAATCATGTTAGGGGAAATTCTATTATTATGAGAGTGGCAAATTACACAGCAAATCAGCCTATGCCACTGTGCTGGCAGTTTATAACCTGAAGTGCTCACCAACCAGGGAAAGCAAAAAGTCGCACTGAAAAATGAGAAATGTGTACAAATATACTGCAAATATGAAACAGCATAAAGCAAAATGTCATTTCTCTGCTACAGTGATGCTATACCTGTAGTAAAGCAGGACAGGCAGCCACATTGGGGCCTTCAAGAACAAGGGCCCCCCACTGGGGTCCCCCTTGCTACCCACCCCTCTGCCCATATATTTTTTGGAGAATTTCCAAAGGCCATTTGCACCTAGTTTTCATCACTGATCTAGTGCCAGTGGGGTTCCAGATGTGGCTCAGGGCTTCCCAGCTGAACCCAGCAATCAAAGGGAAAGAAGATCTAGGAACCCTTGACGAAGCCCTGGCTTGGTTTTTAGAAAACCCCAAAGCTACTATGTATACATTCTTGCCACTTTGAACAATCATTTTTCAACATTCACGACAGCCTTTCAGCAACCCAAATCATACATGCGGTAACAGAAAGATGGGTAAACAAATGGGATGAGGCTTTTCTGCTGAGCTCGTTACATGGAGCAGTGCCTTTTGGTTATGTAAGTTTTAAATGGGAATGATGTCATCTCAGAAGTGGCTGAAATACTACTAAAAACGGTTCATGATTTTTTAAAACAACGAATACGTGTCTGAAAATATACACGGAATTTATCTTTCAAGGAAATTTTAAATCGCAGTACTGAACTCTAAACCCACGCTCTAAATAGTTTTAGTGTTTTGATCTGTTCCAGCCTGAAGCAGGAATGCTAGAGAAGTCTGAGATCTGTCCTCCTTTACGAGAAACAGAAGTCTAGACGGTCTGGATTTCTGTGAGAACAACACACAAATCTTCTTGTTCCACCTCTTTTATGACATATGTACTTTCTTGAATATAACATGGGTTCTGTTTATGAAATCTAGCTTTAAAAGATTCAAGATATTACATGTTTATGAAATCTAGCTTTAAAAGATTCAAGATATTACATGCCCTGACCCTAAATAAATCCAGATCCTGAAATCAAAGGTGTTGTTGGAGGAGGTAACTCTATAGTATGGATTTTTGGTAACACTGTATATAAAATATTGGATCTCTACTATTTTCTAACAATTGTTTTTCCAGGCTGGTGTCCTGATCTGCCTTCAGCTGACTGGGAAGGAGGGGACTAATGCACCCAAAGGTAGTTTGTAAAACATACTGAGAAACAGGGTAGTAAGAAACAAAGGAGACAAACTTGATTCACACTAAGCCATATCATGGTCTGTTTGGCTTGGGGTTAGTATATTGTGTGAACTCATTTGCTGTGGTTTCTAAATCATGATTTATGGCTTAATCCCCGCTAACTGTAGGTTCCCCCCAAGATTCAGATGACCCCCCCCCGACCCTATTGGGACTTTGGAGGGCCCTGAAGACATGGCTCTTCACCCAAGCCTTTGGTGAAGATGACTGACGCCCCTTTGCTTCCTGTCCCTTGTCCCATCGGGGTTTGTTTTCTCTGCCATCTTTGTTTCTTTGTTTTGTGTTTCTTGTTTTGTTACTTGTTTTTAACAACAATTGTTTTTAACATTTAAAAACCATCCCAGAGTTGCTGGGAGTTGGGCAGCATATACATTTAATAAATTATTATTAGTTTATTCAATTAACTATGGTATTTATAAATTTTACGTGATTCCTTTAACAAGAAAAAAAATATAAAGGGGGGGGGAAACACATAAAGACAGAGAAAAGAAAAGTTGAAATAATAAAACCACCATGCTTCATCTAGGAAATCATTCTGCTTGCCTTATCCTTTACTGCAGAGAATAATTTTCATCAATCTATTGCATTACATCAATAAAGTGCCAGTTCAGAAACAAAAAGAAACACATATTCCCAGATTTTAATTCTGCAGTTGTACCATCTTTCCAAATTCAAATCTTTCTACTGCTCCCAGTGTCAGCTAATGTTGGTTTATTCAATGAACCATGGTTAAGCAAAGCATGGCTTAGTATATTGTATGAAGCCATTGAGTAGATCACCCTTTCTGCATCAGATTTTGCTTCTCACCAACGATGATCATATACCAAATGGTTAATCACTAGATTATGGTTGAGGGAGTGAAAGAAAGGAAAGCCACTGTCAACCCTCCTGAGAAGCTAACTCCACCAGGCTTGATTTCTCCTGAAATGGTCATCTCACCCCTTTAGTTTGCTTGAAGGAAAGCTTAAAATCCTTTTTGCATTGAAAACTGGTATCTATTGTTATTTTCCTTTCTTTATTCCATCTTTTTTGTACGGTGTATTTTTATATTCCAAACCTGAGGGCAAAGATTGCTTCTTCTTATTGACCTGAAAACTATACTAGGAGCATTTCAGGATGAAAGATAAATTATAATTGCTTTAAATCCAATTTCCAGGGCCACATGCAGCCCTCAAAAGATGTATGTGGCACCTTCAGTGCCTGCATTAGAATTTTTAATGTGACAGAAGAAGAAAATTATTAAATGCCATATATTATTAGCTGCATTTAATTAAATTAAGTCAAACTGAATTTGTTTTTGGTCCATCCAACTCATTGGCCTGGCCTGGCCTGGCCTGGCCTATTTTCTGGAGCGACACACCATTTAAAAGCCAAATGCATTTCTCATTCTGAAAGGAGTTGTGTAGCAACTCCTGATGATCTATCATCCTCAGAGCTGAATCAGCCACCCCTGCCAGAATTCAACTGTACAGTCCTTGCTGTACTAAATGATTACAAATATAAAGCAGTTCTTTTTAGGAGCAATGAAACCTAACAAGAAATTCATGAATAAAATAATTGCCAATCTAAATCTTTGATGATAAATCCAAAGTAAATGGCATATCAATTAACACCTCTTAAACTATGTTGAATAAGTTAATGGTCTCCTTCAAGTCCACCTCTTCTAGTGACTTCCTAGACAAGTCCATGTAGTTTTCTTGACAATAGTGCAGGACTTTCCCACTGTGTCCCTCCAGGATGTTTTTCTTTTCTTTTTTTTTTGACTCCTAACCTACAGCTCCTGCCTTCTCTGGACATGTCTCATCCAAGAACTAGCCAGGCCCAGCTCTGCTTAGCTTCCAAGATTAGACAAGGTCAGGCCCATGTTGCCACTGCTATGTTGAAGACCAGCTACAGCAACATGGAGAGCCAAATGGCTCTTGTGGGAATATTTACTGTCTTTATTTATCATACAATGCAATGTGGCTTTATTAGATATTAAAGTCATTTGGAAAATGTACCCATTCTGACTTTAAAAAGGATTCACTGAAGTACAACATTCGGGTGGTAAAAAGTAACAAAATCACTGCTTTCAAGTCCTAGGCAAAATTAAAAGAAGACAGCAATCTAACAGTCCTCAGCTATTATTGCAAAATTCAAATGGATGAAAGCTAGGCTAATTTTAGAAAGTTTCTAAAGCAAGGATAGTTCACTTCCCAGTTCAGTGTTTCTGTAATGAAACAAAAATGCAAGAAATGTTTGCAATACTGAGCATGTGTGAGATGCCCTGTATTTTATACTAAATCACAATAATCATTTTTAAAGTTTCATTGGTACACATGAAGAGGCATATGTGGCAAATTTGGCTCTTCCTTTTTGATAAAAAGAAGATAAAACACCATGTTTATTAATCTTCTCTCAAATATTTAGCATACGGGTCCTTGGACTGGCGTTCCCAACTGGAACTGATGACTGGGAATTCTGGTAAGTGATATTCCAATAATATGTGTCGGGTGTTACACTGAAATACGCTGCCATGTTCTTTTTCTTCTCTTAAATGGTCTAGTCAAGTCTAGAGACCCACTCACTGACTGCTAGATCTGAGAATGAAGCCACAGGGGGGAAAAGCACTCTATGGAATTAACTCTTCGTGGCTAAGCAATTTTGTTATTCTAATTTTTAACATCAGACCTCAGTGTATTCCAGTGATTCTGAAATCATGAGACTAGTTAATCTCAGTGGAATTTTCAGTTTGTTCCCAACCATGAAATATACAAATGTCACTCACCTGCTCAGGGTATTTACTGCCTGTTATTTCAGCAACTGTGTTAAAGGAATCAGCATCAGGATATGTTTTGGCTCCCATTTTCAGAGTTACAACTATCTTAGTGCCCCGGGAGAACAACCGGGCCATCAGTTCCGCATCTTCAATAGCAATGCAGGCGGTGGGGATCTTGGGCACATCTGATTCATATGCTTGCATTCCAGTATGTGGGCTGTAGAAAAAAGCACAGTAAGCATGTTACCTTTGGGTTCGCATTTTGAAGGAAGGTCATCTGAGCTTTTCGGATCAATGTGACACTTGATTAGGGATAATCTTGGGTTATTTCTTGTGGGATAGCATGTTGTGCAAATCCAACCATGTGTTAATTTGTTATTCAGTGTATTTCATAAAGCCAGACAATGGATTAATTCAGTACCCAATTAGGTGTGTTATGTCAACATAACCTCATAGTTTGTTAGTTTATTAATATCTGAGTTTGTTGAAGGAGCATCTGCCGTGCACTGATTAAATCTAAATGCATTTAAAGTTGAATAGACTAATCCTTTGGTAGCAAATGTGAGTGAATAGGCCCCATAGCTGATGCCACCAATTAAATTAATCAATGTTCTGCAGAACAGTTTATTCCATCACAAGGTCATCAGGTTCCTTAAAGAAAACATTAATATTGTCATATAAGCTGTCCATCCAGAGTTTAACTTCTGGATGCATTTCAGAATAGGCTTTCAGTTAGCAGCAGAACTCAATCTAGACTGAAGCCAGCAGCAGAAGTGCTGATCTACTATAAGGACTTTGTGATTTCTCTCCACCAAGGGCAGATACAGTAACAGGAAACTCCTGACCTCTGGACATCTAGTAGCCATACTATATAACACCACCCACGCAGTTGTGCAGCTTTCCCAATCTCCTGCCTTCCAGACATACTGAGTCTACAACTTCCAAAACCTGATTTTGGAAACTACAGTAGTGCTACCCAGCCTGGTCCATCCAAAATTGTTTCTGATGGCTTTTACCAGATCATGATGATTCTTGCTGGGCTTAGGTATTGGTTTCCATAGTGAAAGGGACTGCAGACATAGAACTATCATACTTCCTGCAAAATATATAAAAAACAGGGCCACTAGTTGGCAGCAAGGAGAAAACCCTAACTCTGCTCCCCTGTAGCGCTTATTGGAATGATTGCAGCCCAGATCTTGCAGTCCTAATTTAAAGTGTTTTAAAATTATTATTGAAAGAAGATGGGAATTATAAATATAATCTTATGGAAATTGAAGCTCATCGTAACTTGGAGAAGTAACAGGATGGCAGAAAACTATTAGAAAAATGCCAGAATACAGATGAGAATCTTAACTAAAATCAAAATGAGAGAGGGAGGACATCTTTACATGTCTGAGTTATACGTGCTTCGTAAAGTTGGCCTAAATAATGGGAATATGAAAAATTTTTGTAAGAGGTTATCCATAGCAAATGATGTTTTGTTTCTCAGAAGAAAACTGGCCCCCAATACTTTATATAATCATGTTGCTTCCATAAATGAAAGCAATTGAAAATACTCAGTGGTACAAAAGTTGTAATTGGGCTAACCCCTACCTGTGGTTTCAGAACATTTGTGCCCTTTCCTTGATCGGAAGGCCCATCAGACAGTCACTCATGCCCTGGTCACCTCACGATTGGATTATTACAATGCACTCTATGTGAGGCTGCCCTTGAAGACCACCTGGAAGCTACAGCTGGTTCAAAATGCAGATGTGCAAGCAGTAATGGGCGCTTCTTGATGTGCCCATGTGTCACCATTGCATTGGCTGCCAGTTGGCTTCCAAGTGCAATTTAAGATGCTGGTTATTACCTATAAATGCCTGTATGGCGTATGGCCTGGTTACCTGACAGACCATTTGTCTCCAACTGTATCTGCCTACCAGAACACTCCAGCTGAGTGGGTATGCTCCAGGTCCCCTCCAGTAAATGTTGTCATCTTTTGGGACTTAGGAAGCATACCTTTTCTGTTGCAGCCCCCACCTTCTGGAACATTCCCCCAGAGATAAGGACAGTGCCCTCTCTCCTGGGGTTCTGGAAAGCCTTGAAAACCTGGCTTCGTCCCAGGCCTAGGGTTGATTTTTTTTTTTTTTTGGTTAATGGCCCCTGTTTTGTTTTGTGGGTTTTGTTATTACAGCATTTTAGTCCAGGCTGCCTGATGAGTTAATATCTTTAGCTATTTTGATGTGTTTTTTAGTTTTGTGAGCTGCCCAGAGTCCACTGGAGTTGGGTGGCCAATAAATTTAAATAAATAAAGGTGTAGCGAGCCATTCCAAGATGTAAGTAGAATTTAACTTCATTTAAATATAAATTAAATCAATGAAGTTAATATAATAATTTTCTACCTCCATTGGTTTAATAACTTTCTCCTGTCATATTAGAAATTACAATTTGTGGCAACTTTAGGAGAAATTCTAGACATTCAGGGGCTGCCATGCACATGAAATGTTTAAGATGAATTCTTCAGATGCAAGGCCAAATGATTATGTATATAACCCAATGGCATCCTGGGTGGGATGGGGGTGTCAAAAAAGTCATGGTAGTCATGACCATGAGATCAAAACCCAGCTCTTTTGTGTTTGTGATGTCAACACACATACAACAGGGGCACAGCTTCAATCACACAGTTGTGTCTACCATCTTGATTTCATTGATCCCCCTCCCCCTGCAGAGGCCTCTGTGTAACCCACATTATGGCCTTTCTAGTAACACTGGAACAAGTTGGCAATCACCAGTAACTCAGGACAAAGCTTGCAGGTCGTGAGTAGCTGTCTGAATCCAAATGTTGCTTTCTGATATGTTCTATTATTGAATCAACCCTATTGACTTTGATGTAATTTGGAAGAGAACAAATCAGACTGGAAAATTATTTTGGGATTTCCCCCCCCTCCTTTTTTTGCCCTGGGACAGAACTTTCATATTTGAAATGCATCAGATATCAGCTTGGCAATAAATCATTTTCTACACCTTTGTCATACAAGATGCAAGCAGAATCTAAACTTGGGGGAAAAAATCCAAGGGGGAAAAAGTTTATCTTTATTTCTGTATCTGAAATATATCTTTAAACAGAAACGGGAAGTAAGTTTGCTTTTTTCTAGATTGAAGGACTGAAATAATATTAATTCTCCACATTCTATACACACTAAAATTCCATATACAGTGACCAAATAACAGAACTCACTACCTCAAGAGAGTTATCTTGTGACTAAGTTTTGTCCCCTTAAGGTACTTTGAAATACAGACACCCCCCCATAAGTATATTTAAAATTAGTGACAAAAAACAGAAAGAGAAAATTCTACATATACCATCCTATTTTCCCAGAATCATGGAATTTGAAGATTACAAATTTATACGAGTGCAAAAATGGCAAACTCTTGGTTCTTTCAGTATAAATTTTAGAACTGCTTTTCATGGAGAAACATAGCTAGGATTGCTTTTTAAGTCCCCTGGAAAATAGCACCTTTAGTTACACACTATCTCCAGAGGAAGAAGAATTTATACATTTTGAAGAGGAGCTCTGCAATTAGAGAGCCCAAACCTCTCCAATCACAAGGCTTGTAATTTGACATTTTATCCAAAATTACTTTTCACGTTTGTAGTTATACAGACCAGTGTTTCTCAACCTCAGCAACTTTTAGATTAAGAGACTTCAACTCCTAGAATTCCCCAGCCAGCATCTTAAAGTTGCTGAGGTTGAGAACATAGCTTTAGATGTAATGATCATTTATGCTTTCTGCTAGGCTAATGTACCTGTGAGCTTCACCTATAAGAAAAGTAAGCTTGCCATATGTGGGCTGGAGAAACCTGGACAATCACTAGGTGGCAGGAACAGTTAGTTTTCTTCTAGTGGTTGTCCAGATCCTTGCAGCCCAGATATGGTTTACTGATACAATTTTTAGCCTGATGAAGAGTTCTGGAGAAGCCAAAAGCTTGCTTACTCTTTTGTGCCATTCTGGTTCTTCTAATAAAGGTATTGACCAATAATGGCTTTTGGATTAGGTCTCTAAAGACCCCTGGAATTACCTATGATGCCTTCTAAATATTCTGGATTACAATTCTCAAAACTACAGTATTTGCCATATATACTTTGTCTCTAGTATCTACGCCAAATATAAGAACATTGCACAGTAAGAGATGATGACAGTGTCTCAGAATTAAAGCATTTGTATTGTTTTTATTACAATTCAGAATGGAATTATCTAACTTATGATAGATCCATGCTGGACCTTAGCTTCCCAATTTGGTACTTTAGAAGAAAGCTAGAAATATATTTTATATGGCCAAAAACATTGATACTGCATGAGCTTCCATTGACCTTTAACCCCCTGTAATCAATGCTAACACAATGCATTTCCATCATTTCTGCCAACTCCTTTAAATATTTTAGTGGAGTCTTAAATCCCCAGCATGGACACACCACATGTGAAACACAGCAATGCTGGAAAAGATGAGTAAATGGAGGCTCAGTAAATTAACAAACTTTATTCCTTAATAAAGCATCAAAACATTACTGCTTTGGAACAAGTGCAATCAACAGAAACAAAGAACTGAGACCTTGAAGAAGCTGGCAGCTTACGGACTCCCTGTACAAACACAGAGCAACATAACTCTCCTTTATTACTTTGGACCTCTAATTTGGAGACATTTTTGAAGATCTGGCAAGACATTTGATCTACAAACATTTGGAGAGAAAAAGCTATTGGAGAAAAAGCATACTGAGTGTATTAATTAGAAAACGGCTTTAGCTTTGCTTGTTATGTCTGATTATGGGGATTGTAACTGAGGTTTCAAGGACTGTGTGGCATGTTGGTATGATTAGCCTTATGACTTCAGTATTGTCAGATTTCCACTGTTGCCATGTGAACAAAACAAGAGCGAAACCAAGCAAAACAAAATAGATTAATCATAAAAATGGCAACAGTCAGCAGAGACAGGTGTGAGGGAGTGAAGTTGGGATGGCTGTTTGTGTCTGGGAAAAGTAGCTGCAGCCAGGCAGAGATGCTCCTCACCCCATTTCCCTCA